ATATTACGACCTAACATATATAATAGGACCAGGGACTCGCCCCGTAGGCCTACGGCGGCTACTATATTATATATAGTATAAAATACGAAATATATATATCACCTTTACGAAACGGAAGAATTATAAATAAGTTATATAATAATAAAATAAGGAACTCTGTATATTTAGTATATAAAATCCGCTTTTTAATTAAACGGATCCCGTATCTTAAAAATACGGGAACCGTTAAATGAATATATAGATAAAAGATATGTTTACGATTAGGATTTATATATAAAATAGCTACGAGCTAGGCTCGAGGATAGACTCCTATAGCTTCTTTAGTAATCAATTCTTATATTAGATCTAACGATCGCTTTTAACTATCTTTATTAAAAACCTTATTAATAAGATTACGATTGATTACCGAAGCCTTTCTATTTAATGACTTATAGATAATAGCTTTTTTAAAACTATTTTAATAACGACTATTATTTATAAATATCGTAGCCCCGACTTTTGTTAATACAAACTTTACTACGACTAGCCGATCGTAATATTAATATGAAATTTATATAAATTTAAAAAAAATAATTTTTTTAAAAAAAACCGTAATTTTTAAATAAATTATTAATTTAATTAATTAAAGATTTTTATTATAATTTAATAATATATAAAATATAATTAATTATTTTTTTAATAAATATAATATAACGTATATTAAACCGTAATAAATAAAAGATTTTATATAACGTTAATTATAATTAAAAATACGTTTTTAATATAAAATTAATTATTAAAAATTATTAATTAAAGATTTTATAACTATTTAAATTTAATTTATTTTTATATAAAATACGATTATAAAATATAAAATATATAATTATAATATTTATAATTTTAATAAAACGGGCTTTTTAATAAAAATATTTTTATATATAAGAGTTATTATAATTTTTAATTATTATAAAAAGTTTTATACAAAATAGTTTAATAATTAAAAATAAGTTTTTATTATTTAAAATATATATATAAATAATTAAATATTATTTTTATATATTATTATAAAAAATAAATATTATTTTTTTTATAATATATTAATAATTAATTCCTTTTTAAATAATATATTTATTTTAATAAAAATAAATAAATTATAAATAAAATCGATTTAAATTAATTAAAATATTTTAAAAAATATTTAAAATTTTATATAAAAATTATGAAACGACTTTTAATTTTTGATAATTATAATAATAATAAATTAATTAAATTTAATAATTATTATAAAAAATGTAATATTATCGCTTTTTATATATTTTTTTATTTATTATATAAGCTTTAGTTTTTTAATATTAATTATTTTAGTTTATTAAAGGTTTTATATAATAAAAAAATCGAAAAAATAATACGGATATAAATTATATATAATATATATATAGCGAGTCGCTTATTATAATAAATCGCCTATTTCTAAATACCCTCTTACTATTTATATAAGTTAATTAAGCTATATCGTATAAAATTAATTAAAACTACTTATTAGCCTCTTTTTTAGAAATCTTTTAAATTATTTAATATATTTATATATTATATTTAGTTTTTTTATAATTATTATATTACCGCCCGTGCGATTTAACCTTTTTTTTTATAAATACTTTTTTAATATATATTTTCGCTTTTAATATTAATAACCCTTTTTTTTATTTAAATTACCTCGGCCTTAATAATATTAAATAAGTTTTTAAAACGTAATTATATTTTTTTAACCCTCCGATGTTTATTTAATATTTTATTTACTATACGAAGCCTACGGTACTTAGTTTTAATAAAAGTTAATTTATATATTAATTTATTAATACTTTTAGTTTATAAATTAATAACTTTATATAAATATATTTATAAACTATATTAATGATTATAAATCCGTTTTTTAAATAAAATAAAGCTTTATATAACGTTATATACTATAATTAATATTTTTAAGTCTTAAAAGCCCTAGCTATTTAGGCATAAGTTAGATAGTATTAACGTTTTGAATTTAAAATCTAAATAAAAAATGACTATTTTTGAATTAAAAAGTATAATTTTAACCTATTTAAAACTAGCTTATACGTTTTTTTTATTTATTAAAATAAAAAAGGTTATTTTAAAAATAAAAAAGAAATCGTTTTTAATAATATATATAATTTATATCCGTATTATCTTCTCAATTTTTTTATTATATAAAGTTTTTAATAAGCTAAAATAATTAATATTAAAAAACTAAAACTTATATAATAAATAAAGAGGTATATAAAAAGCGATAATATTATACTTCTTATAATAATTATCGAATTTAATCGATTTATAACTATTATAATTATTAAAAATTAAAAACCATTTAATATTTTTCATACAAATTTTATATATTTTTTAAAATACTTTAATTAATTTAAACCGATTTTATTTATAATTTATTTATTTTTATTAAAATAAATAAGTTATTTAAAAAAGAATTAATTATTAATATATTATAAAAAACGTAATATTTATTTTTTATAATAATATACGGAGGTAACGTTTAGCTATTTATATATATATTTTAAATAATAAAAACTTATTTTTAATTATTAAATTATTTTATATAAAGCCTTTTATAACGATTAAAAATTATAATAACCTTTATATACGAAAATATTTTTATTAAAAAGCCCGTCTTATTAAAATTATAAATATTATAATTATATATTTTATATTTTATAATCGTATTTTATATAAAAGTAAATTAAGTTTAAATAATTATAAGATTTTTAATTAATACTTTTTAATAATCGATTTTATATTAAAAACGCGTTTTTAATTATAATTAATATTATATAAAGTTCTTTATTTATTATAATTTAATATACGTCGTGTCGCGTTTATTAAAAAAATAATCGATTATTTTTTATATATTATTAAATTATAATAAAAATCTTTAATTAATTAAATTTATAATTTATTTAAAAATTACGGTTTTTTTTAAAAAAGTTATTTTTTTTAAATTTATATAAATTTTATATTAAAATAATAAATTAGTATATCGATTACGAAATATTATTTTTAAAATATTATAAATAAAAACTATTTTTTATATAGATAAATTTAAATTTTTGTTAACAATTTAAAATATAAAAATAATATAATTTTTATTTAAAAAAAAATTTATAATCGTGTATAAAAAAAATAGTTATTAAGATAAAAGGTATAAAAAAAAAGGAAAATAAGCGACTTATTATAATAGGCGACTCGCTATATATATACGTTATTTATATAAAACTATTAATTTATAAGCTAAAAGTATTAATAAATTAATATATAAATTAATTTTTATTAAAACTAAGTACCGCAGGCTTTATATAATAAATAAAATATTAAATAAACGCTAGAGGATTAAAAAATATAACTATATTTTAAAAGCTTATTTAATATTATTAAAGCCGAGGTAATTTAAATAAAAAAAGGGGTTATTAATATTAAAAACGAAAATATATATTAAAAAAGTATTTATATAAAAAGGGTTAAATTATATAAACGGTAATACGGTAATTATAAAAAAATTAAATATAATATATAAATATATTAAATAGTTTAAATAACCTTTAAAAAAGAGGTTAATAAATAGTTTTAATTAATTTTATACGATATAGTTTAATTAACTTATATAAATAATAAAAAGGTATTTAGAAATAGCCCGCTCGCTATAATAGCCCGCTCGTTATATATATAAGTTAATTTATTTATAATTTTTCTATTTTATAAAGATAATATATATATTTTTATGTCTTATATTATATATAATATAGTAGCCGCCGTAGGCTTACGGGGCGAGTCCTTGGTACTATTATATATATTAGGTCGTAATAATATATTATAAAATTATAACCCTACTTTATTAAAACTATAACGGTTATTATATTATAAATATAATAATAAAAACTTAAATAATTCTTTTAGAAATAAAAAATTTATAAATAAATTATATAATTAAAATTAAATAGTAAAATAAAGAAGGGATACTTAGAAATAAATAAATTAAAAGGTAATTAAAAATATAATATTCCGGCCAGCTAGTCATAGTAAGGTTTATATTAATAAAAGTCGGGGCTACGATATTTATAAATAATAATCGTTATTAAAATAGCTTTAAAAAAGCTATTATTTATAAATTATAAAGCGGAAAAGCTTCGGTAATGAATTATAATTTTATTAATAAAGTTTTTAATAAAAATAACTAAAAATAATTAAATTTAATTTAAAAGGTTAATTATTAAAGAAGTTATAAAAGTCTATCTTTAAACCTAGCTTTAACTACTTTATATATTAATATTAACTATAAATATATCCTTTATAATATTTTATTTATTATAATTTAATTATTTATTAAATAATCATTTATTTTATATTTTTATAATTGTTTATTTTATTATATAATTATAGTTACGTAACTTATTTATAATCATTTTGTTTTAAAGGGAGCCGTTTGAGTTTTAATTATAATATATATAATATAATAGCCGCCGTAAGTCCTATAGGGCAGGGCCCTGGTTTAGTAATACGTATTAAATCGTAATATATAAAATAAATAACTATTTAATTAATAATTAAATAATAATAAGTAAAATATTATAAAAAAATATTTTAATATCAAAACTTATATATAATTTAAATTTAAATTAAGTTTAAAAAAAACTTTCATAACTTCTTTAATAATTAGTTTTATATTAATTTTTTAATTGTTTTTTATTATTTTTATAATAAACTTTATAGAATTATAATTAATTAATAAAGCTTTTTTATTTCATAAATCATAAATAATAATTTTCTTAAAATTATTTTTATAAGAATTATTATGTATAAATATTATAGCTTTAATTTTTATTAATATAAACCCTTATTACAATTAGTAGGCTGTAATAGTTAAGCGTTGAAGAATATTGCGATAACTTAAAACAACTCAAAATTAATGTAGACTATTTGGCACGCGATGTCGGAGGTTTATCTCACTTGCGTCTCTCTTCCAACATAAACTCGTTCGATCCTGACGTTCCGTTGTCTTCCTCCGACTTTCGCTGGTTTTTGTCCTCTAGCTGTGCAACATACCAAATCAAGAAAATGGCCATCGTTATGGCCATTAAAACAGTGTCAAATATGTAAAGGAATATCTCGTGCGAGATGAGATAACCGCCGTTTCCCTGCAGATATTCGACGACTCGGAAGATGCTTCGGACCAAAATGATGGCGCTCGTGATATAAAGCACGCAAAGGTACCGCTTCCAGGGCGTGCTCCCACTCGCGGTGCTCGTAGGGTTCTTCGCGAGACGGTAGTGAAAGAGAAGGGAGGTTAGGACGAAGAACCCAAAAACAACTATCTGGACAAACAGTCCTGCGACAATGATTTTCTCTCCAGCGAGGTAAAGGTCCAAAGTCCCCGCTGCTTGTATGCCTCCGCCTCCCGCCTGTAAGGAGAATGCAATCACATCCCCAGTGACGAAGATCCGAGTCACCCAGGCAACCGGGATTAACGAAAGATGCTCGCCCCTGACTGATCGAATGAGCCGACCCAGTATCATGTAGATTGAAGCGGCGTATAGGGCTGGAGCGACGAGAATAAGGATAGCTTGGATGATGAAACCGCCGATTGACAACTTGTCGTAATGACTCCATATTCTACCGCAGTAACCTGTGGTTTGGACTGTGCCTGTCAGTTGTCACATTCAAATCTGGTCATTCAAACTCCTCCATCCTACGCATCTGTATATTCACAAATCATTACCTGCGTTGGGTTCAAGAGCAACTTACACAATCCGCCAACAGTGAACGCGGTGAAGTAGAAAGCCCGTGCTCTGTATAGACGCCAGGTGTGAAGCAGTGTGAGGATGGCGAAGACACCGACGCTGACAATAGCCGCAGGCAGTGATGGAGTATACCGATAGAGCTTGAAGTCGAAGCCCGCACCGGGATCCTGGGAGGTTTGGGCTTCCGTTGCCATTGTGGCCGTCGATGCAAGCGTGAAAAGAATTGCCAGAGATGTTTCGACAACTTGGATAAGGACAAAGCTGCGTTATGAGAATGAAGGAGCCGAAAAGAAGAGACTTGGGCCGAGTCGTTCGAAGGGATTCAATTGGGCTTAAACATTTCTCATTTGCTATGCTCTTTTCCTACGCCGAGGCTAGGCACATTCTGCTCCTCTTGTCCACCTGTGGAGTGCAGTGGACAACGTCACTCATCACAATCCTGAGCCTGCAGCATAAGGGAGATTGGAATGGTCAAGTTGCATGTCTTTTGACCAGAGCAATGCACAAACCCGTAGGCTGTGCGGACCAAACCGGACACAGCAGGACTGCGTTGGGCAGTGCAGGCGGTCTATAAGCAGCCATAGCCCCGCCTGTGCAGCCCCCCCAAGTTTCCATATCTCGCCAAGTCCTGGCTTTACATCCCTGCGCTGTAAACGAGATACGAGGTATGGAGATCTCACTCAGCCGATGGGTTAAACGAAGAACGAGAAAATGCCCCATGCCACGGACCAGGTTTTTTCTGTCTTTCTCCCTTTTTTTTTTATTTTTTAATTGCCGGCAGCAAAGATTAGTACGAGACCCATAGTGCGGTCACTCGTGAGGCGCAGAATTGTTTGCCAACTGTTGACCCGCAGCTTTTTCAAGTACGAGGCCACTACCAGAGAGGAACATCCGCCATAAAATTGCCTTTGGGTATCCGTAATTATCCTCTTCAGTCTGCTGTTGCCAGTCGCAGCTATTGTGTGACCATTTGGGGCCCCCGTTATCAATTTGCCGATCGCGCGAATTTTCCCAGCGCCTGGACAGGCAATGTCGTTGTCACTGACTGAGACTACAGAGACAAGAAACGCTCCAAAAGCGTGGGCATTTACAGCAGTCTCGATCTAGAAACCACTGAATGTCAATTGCATGTCGATATGGATAACTCACGAGCCCCATGCTCTAAATTCAGACAGCGTCATCACTTCGGTTCCGGTTGCTCCTGCCGTCCGCTTCAGCAGTGATGTTGGGTTTTCATTTCCTGTTTCATTTCTTCTCTTTGTCCTGGCGATTGTGCAGATTCTGGCATTCTATGAACACTGTGAATGCCAACCATCTTGCCCCTAGCAATCCGGTCGCATAAAAATTGAATATGAATGACGTGCAGTCTGCCCGTCTTCGTCCGTGGTGTAGTAGCTGCAACGTTTATTTGTCAGGTTACTTATGCGTACGAGCAGCAGCACGTTTGCTATAATCTATTCCCGTGCAGCATTGCAGACCAACAAAAGGGAAATCTCACTCGAGCCCGTCTTGTACATCAACTTTGACTCTAAAGTTCTATTCACAGTACTGGGGAAAAACCCAGCCTATTCATTTGCCGGCTCATAAACCCATGTCATGTGATCCTCATCAAGGTTTTGATAGATGCTCGACATGATATGATATGCCCAGCCATGCAGCGACCATTGAGTTCCGCAACTATTCAAGACAACGGCGAAGTGGGCTAGAAGAACTAAGGCTTCCTGTTCCCTCACCTCCAACAACGGTGTAAAATCTTCCAAGGACCTGTATATCCAGACTAAAGCATCCGCACCTTCCCAGACGTGCACGCCCTTGCTCGCGTCACGCAGCCTCTTTATTACCTCGATGTACATAGCCAATATATCGCTCTCCAAGTTCAGATTACCGAGGAGAGCATGGAAGTCATCGAGAGGTTCTTTACTCTGCTGGGAATCGAGCTCGGGTTGATCATGATGCTGTTGGAAAGCCCGTCTTTCTGCGCCATAGCTGATGAGGGGTGCTAATGTACTCTTTGAGGTGTTCTGCGACAAGTCGTCAAGGAGGCCCTCCATTCCTTGTAAAATGCCAATCAAGTCATAGAAACCCGCGTCATCGTCAGCAATAGTACCTATGGCAGACCTCTGTGGGATGCCTAAACCTTGACAGAGATAGACTTGATGGCGCCTGGATTGGGTCGATACGGCACACACCCATTGACTCAATCAATGCAGAGAAATGAAACAACAGAACACAATCGGTTTCGGAGACATCATGCAGCATCTCTCTCGCAGTCTCTGAGGCAACACGATAATACCCGAGAGCGGTGGAAATGTACAGACCCCTCCGTTCAGCGCGCAGTTCCGCGAGTTGTAGAGCCGAGATGGCAAGAAGGGCCTTCATCAGATATACGTTTGAGAACAAGACTCGCACCGAAACTCTCCAAGTCTCCGAGCACTGGCGACCATGGTAGTGCCGTCCATGTGAACGTATCGTATGTGTGGAGAAGCTCAAGTTGTAGGAGGTTAAGCTTGGTTTCCCCATCGTCGAGCACAGAAGCGGACGATTTTCGTTGCAGGCGCGGGATGGTAACTTCATCATGGTGATAATGCGATGATTGTTTGCCGGGAAACATGTATAAGCACTGGAGCTGCAATCTATCGCATCATGCACATGATTAATGTCTGTACAAGAAGGAGACGCCCAGGAATTTGCCAACCTTGACTCTCCTGCGCTTGCAGTTTTGACAACCAGTTGGCGACTTTCTGTAAATTATTCTCTTGCCAGTGCTTTTGTTCCCCGTTTCCTGGGACTCCGGTAGACCCGCAGGTGGTGACGTACCCAAGTAAACTGAATCTTCTGGAACGCCGAAGTGGTTAGTTCCTTCTGCCATCATGTCTGCTGTTCAGGTACAATAGCATTGCTGAGTGGGCTTCCTGATAAAAAGAGATTTTAGTGACTCTCCGTTCTTACCTTTGTATCAATGGGGGCCGGATTTGTTGCTGGTTCGGCCTAATACGCTGCCATGCTCGGTTTACTAGACGCCACAGTCGTAAACGATGGGTCCCTAAACTGCCTGAACAGGTCATTGAGACTATGATGGGCGTTTGGTTGAAGTGGGTCTAAGCATGATGGATGTTGTCTGTGCGTAATACTCGGGTCGACTCGTATACCGAGGTACGAGCTTGAGCACAGGGCTGGTTGCCAGTGGTTAACGAGATACGAGGCTTTGAACCCGACATTGCAGCTTGTTTTCGAGAAGAGATTCGTGCAGCGATGATCCACGAACGTGCCTTCAAAGCCACGTAAACGATGTCCCACCTGCCGGACTTGTTCACTCACTGAAGTTTTAAGTTTTACCAGAAGCGTCTAATGACTTTCGAACCGGATCTAGTCCCGGTCGAGGCAAAGGAAACCGATAAAGCTCTCAAATTCACTTATATTTGACACACTGCTAATGACATGGCTGTCTTTACCTTATTCCTAGGAAGAGACTCCTGTTCATTCCTTCCCTCCTGCTTTGACTTACTTTCGACCAACGTTTCACCGCGCTGTTTGCCCTGAGAAGATAGTCGAGCTCAGAACAGTAAACGAACTCTTTGGGCCAAAGTCGTAAGGCAGAAGCAACAAGCAGCAGAGGAACCGGAAGGAAGCGGAACGATCTATCAAGCGCCAACATGGATGAAAAACGACGAACCATCCGTCATGAGCTTACTAGAGACGACCAAGCCAACCATACGACTTGGCATTCCAACGACACCAGAAAAACCACCAGCACAGGCGATCTCTTTGCCCAAAATGTTAGCGGCCAACCAACTGATGCTACCGAGACGCCGTATTCACCTGCGCCACCGAGCGAGCTCTGGGGAGGAGAGATTGGCATTCGAGGTGAACAGTGCAATTACCAGAAGCCGCCACAAGAAGCGGACTGACGTTGCATTTTGGCACCATACAGATAATGATGGCCGAATTGATATCGATTGCGATTCCAAGTTGGTACGAGCCATGAGCTTGATGTCCCAAGCGAGAAGAGGATCGGAAGAAAAGCAGGCGTACAGGCCACCATCGCCTAGTCCGTCTTTACCGCCGTATGAGCAAGTCCAAGGCTGGGCAGCTGGAACGGATTGTCATCAAGATCCAATCAAACTCAACGTGTTGATACAAGTCGTGGGTAGTCGGGGGGATGTTCAACCTTTCGTCGCTTTGGGCGCCGAGCTTAAGCAACGCGGTCATCGTGTCCGATTAGCTACCCACGACCTCTTTGAAAAGTTCGTCAGGGATGCCGGCTTGGAACACTACTCAGTTGGTGGTGACCCTGCGGCCCTGATGGCTTATATGGTCAAGAACCCAGGTCTAATCCCTAGCATGAAGAGCCTCCAGGCCGGCGAGATCCAACAGAAGCGTGAAATGGTTGGAGCGATGCTCGAAGGCTTTTGGGAAGCTTGCATACGGCCGGACACTGTCACAGGTCTTCCATTTGTAGCAGACGCAATCATCTCGAATCCTCCCAGTTTCGCCCACATCCACTGCGCTCAGGCGCTTGGTATTCCTGTCCATATCATGTTTACTATGCCCTGGACAAGCACGACGGCGTTTCCTCACCCACTAGCCAATTTGAAGAACGTTGGAGGGGATAGATCGCTGGCGAACTATATCTCTTATGGGGTGGTCGACCACATGACTTGGCAAGGGTACGTTCCCTTCCCTCCTTCGTCCGCAACACTTCAGGCGCTTTTAATTGCTCACAATACTTTGCAGACTTGGTGATGTGATTAACAAGTGGCGCAAAAGCCTCGACTTGGAGAAGGTGGCCATGTTTGATGGACCAATGCTGACTAAATCGTTGAAAATCCCCTTCACATACTGCTGGTCTCCAGCTCTCGTTCCCAAGCCTAGAGATTGGGGTTCCCACATCGGTGAGACTCTCCTCAGACGGACACACATTGGAGCTGGGGTAGATTCAATATGACCACATTGATTTGCTGACGTTAAGTTTCCTATAGATGTTTGTGGTTTTTTCTTTCGCGACACGCCCGAGTACTCCCCTCCGGAAGACTTGTTTCAATTTCTCAAGGCCGGGCCTCCGCCAGTGTACATCGGATTCGGAAGTATCGTTCTAGACAACCCCGAGCGCATGGTTAACACTATTCTGAGTGCAGTCAAAATTGCAGGGGTGAGAGCCATCATTTCTAAAGGCTGGTCAGATCTGGCTGGCTCACAAAGCGAGTCTGTGTACTGGATCGGCGATTGCCCCCATGAATGGTTGTTTCAACAGGTAGCGGCTGTGGTGCATCACGGAGGTGCTGGCACGACGGCTTGTGGATTAAGGAATGGCAAACCGACAACCATAGTTCCTTTCTTTGGAGAGTAGGTTCATCCTTGCAGTCTCACATGACATGATATCATACCAAGACCGCCGGTTCGTGCTAACATCGACACTACTCAGCCAGCCATTCTGGGGTGACATGGTTGCCAACGCTGGCGCTGGCCCCAGACCTATTCACCAAAAAGATCTCAACCTAGATAACCTCGGTGCTGCTATCCAGTACTGCCTGACGCCTCAAGCCGCGTCGGCAGCACAGGCTATAGCGACACAGATGGCAGCTGAGAAAGGTGTTCAAAGCGCCGTGAATTCGTGGTGGAAGCAGCTGCCCCAAAAACGCATGCAGTGCGATCTTCTACCCAGTCAGGCCGCCGCATGGGCATTCACAAAGTCCAAGACACCTATAAAACTGTCAAAGCTGGCTACTGAAGTTCTTCTGTCTCATGATGCGTTGCAGCCGAAACAGCTTTCTATGTTAGTTTCTTCATTATTTCCAATCCATGGCAATTTGCCAAGGAGCCAACAGACTTCGGGCGGCTGACTCTTCCTCTTGCATAGATACCAAAGCAAACCCATCACCATCGATGTCACACGGTGGGATCCTGTCTCTGGCGGGGCGTCTGCTGTCATGGCTACGGCGGTGGATTTGACAGGATCGATAACGGGCATGGTCACGAAGCCTGTGGAAGTCTATCAAGGCGAGAAACGACGCCGAGCCCGTAACTTGAAGCGGCAGCAGATACAGCAGCGGGAGAGCGACAGCCCCGGCTTCAAGCGGGATGCCTCCATTGATGACTGCAGCTCGGTTGCTTCCACTGGTAACGGAAGAAGCAAAGGGAAACAAAACTCGATGGCGGGCAAAGTGGCTGGGGCATCAGCGAAGAGCATTGGCCTTTTTGCACCTATAGCGGCCAAAGGCATGCTGTTGGACATCCCGCTCGCCATAACCGAAGGATTGAGGACAGTTCCGAAGCATTTCGGCACCGAGGTACGCAACCACGGCCCAGTCACCAATGCCAAGAGCGGTGCCGCTGTGGCAGGCAAAACCTTTGCGTGGGGCTTCGTGGACGGTGTGAGTGACTTAGTCATGGAGCCCATCAGAGGAGGCAAGAACGAAGGTGCTCTTGGTGCTTTCAAGGGGTTTGGGAAAGGTGCTGCAAGCTTAGTAGCCAAAAGCGGCGCGGGCATGTTTGGATTACTTGCATATCCTAGCGCTGGCATTGCTAAGGGCTTGAGGTCAGCGATGGACACTGGAACGAGGAAGGCAATTGCCGAGGAGAAACACGCGGAGGGGCAATGGCTAGTCAATGGTAACGCGGTTTCTGAGGTGAACGCGGGAGAGGTGCTCGCCTCGTTCAACCGCCTTCGTGGCCTCCGCTAGACAGTTGTTCAGGCCTAAGAGACATTAGCGATAGACATGTAGATCAGCATTCATAAGTTTCATCACACTAAGCCTCCTGTGAATTGGTAGGATCACCGATTCATAGGTTGAGAAAGTAAATGCATTGACTTTATTACTTGAAGGAATGAGCATTGCAAAGACGATGTCCACTAAGTTACTCCAGTTCATAAACGTAAATCCATTTTCTCCTTTCCCGCTTACATCAGTATCCCCGTCACTGCAAAGCTTCCGCGATGCTAAGATTTGTCAAGGGAGATGCAGTTGCAGTGCTCATACTTTCGAGCGTTTATGGTGAGCCACTCTCCATGCCTTTAAAAGCAGCGTTTGCCTGCTATAAATTATGTTAAATACTATGTATGTGTACATACAAACCTGAACTATATACGCACCAAGTTCTATTTTACAACGAATTGACAGAAATTCACAATCGCCTTACTACAAATGCGCTGTCTGGTGCCCAAGGAGTTCACCCCTTGTTAGCTCCTGCCCTTGTCTCGTGTACCTTCACCTGGAGATGTAAGCCGGAGTGGACCCATTTCCTCGGTTATTTCGGGTATCTCCTTTTGATTAAGACTACCGCCTCTGGAAACTAATTATTAAAAAATAATTAAAATATAAAAATAAATTTATTAATATTATAATAAAACCGTTATATATATAAAAATCGCCTTAATAATTAAAAACTACAATTTATATAAAAAAATAGAAATCTCTTGTATAAGCTTTATAATAAATTATAACTATTACTTATATTACTAAAAATATAATATTTCATTTTATAAGATTTTATTATTAAGCTACTTAAATTTAAAAATCTATTTATAAAAACATATCTTAATAATATTTTAATTATAGTTGATTAATTTAATAAGTAAATTTATTTTATATTTTATTTAAAAGTAAATAATACTAAAGAATTAATGTATTAATTTTTTGTAATAATTATTAATAATCATAGCTTATTAATAAAAAGTATATCGAATATAAGTTAATTATTTATTATTAAGTTTTAAAAAGCTTATTTTTCGTAAATTAATATATGTTATAATTTATCGATTTTTTTTATTTATAAATTAATAACCAAAATAAAAAAATAAACTTAATTTTTAAATAAAATTTCCGTTATTAAATCAATTACGATTAAGATAATGAAATTAAATTACTTCTGATAATTTAATTTATATATAATAATATAATAAATAAAAATATTAAATATTTACTATTCTATTTTAATTAAAATTTTAAACCGACCACTTATAAAAACTTAAAATAAAAATAATAAATTATAAAGATTATAATAAGCGTTAAAAAGAAAATTTTAAAAAATAGTTTTAAAAAATCTAAATTTTATTTAATAATATATAAGGAAATACGCTAATAAATTAAAAATTAAAAAATTATTTTTAAAAGAATTAATATATCTATTTTATTATACTATTAAATAAAATAACTAAATAATAAATTGAATTATAAAAAATTTAGTTTTTTTTAAAACTTTTAAAAAGGATTTATTAATTAATTTTAAATTAAAACTTTTAAATACAATAAAATACTTATATAACGAGCGGGTTATTAAAATAAACGGGCTATTTCTATTATTATTTATATTTTTTTTATAATAATAGCTTTTTTTTAAAAATAATAACCGTATTATTTTTTTATTTTTAATTATTAAAAATAATTGAAAATTATTTATTTAAAAAGTTTTTATTATTTATAATATTTTAAAACTAATATTTTAATTTTTTAATATTAATTTATTATTATAATAAAAATCATATATAAATTTAAGGAAATTAACTTTCTTAAAAATAAGTAAAATTTAAAACTAAAATATTAATTTAATTAATTACAGATTTTTATTAAAATTTAATACCGTATAAAATATAATTAATTATATTTTTAAAAAATATAATATAATATATATTAAATTGTAATAGATAAAATACTTTATATAATATTAATTATAATTTAAAATATGTTTTTAATATAAATTTAATTATTAAAAAGTATTAATTAAGGATTTTATAATTATCTAAGCTTAGTTTACTTTTATATTAAGTATAATTATAAAATTTAAAATATTTTATAATAATATTTATAAATCTAATAAAATAAGCTTTTAATAAAAATATTTTCGTATATAAAAAATATTATAATTTTTATATATTATAAAAGGTTTTATATAGAATAGCGTAGTAATTAAAAATAAGTTTTTATTATTTAAAATATATATTTAAATAGCTAAGCGTTATTTTTATATATTATTATAAAAAGTAAATATTATTTTTTCTAATAATATATTAATAACTAATTTCTTTTTAAATTATATATTTATTTCAATAAAAATTAAGAAATTAAAAAGAAATTGGTTTGTATTAATTAGAATATTTTAAAAAATATTAAAAACTTTATATAAACAAAATTGAATAGCTTTTTATTATAAATAGTTTTAATTATTATAAATTATTATGATAGTAAATTCGTTTACCTTATTATTTACCTTATTTTAAATTATAATATAAGTAAACTATATATTATATTAATTTATGAAAAATGTAAATTAATATATATATTAATTATATATATAAACTTGCTTATATAAGCTTGCGTAAGTAATCAAAAGTATTAAAAATTAACGGAACGCTCGGGAGTTTTTTTTCTATAAGATTACGTATTACGATTACGTAATTACTTTTATATATGTTTATTAATTTTATTATAATTAATAAGCTATAGAATACTTTAGTAAGAGGTTTTTATATTTATATAAAGGCGTAGTTTTACTTACTTAGACCTTTCTTTAAATAAGCAAATCCTCATATAGTAATTTAACTATATTACTCTTTTTACTTTAAAAAACCTTAGTTATTTACGCATTACTACTCTTTTATTTATATATTTTTATTTCTATATAAATATTATATATTCTTCTTTTTTTTATAAAAATATATTTACTCTTTACTTCTCAGAGCTATTGTACAAAACTAAAAAAAAAAATTACATAAGCCTTTTTTAATAATAGTTTATAAATAAATAATTTTTTACGCTTCCGCTTTTTTTATAATGGGCCAAGACGGCTAGAATCGTTTAATTTTTATATAAAATATCGTAAGAATATAAAAATTCATAATAAAATAAAGTAGTATAGTTTAAATCGTAGTGGCCGTTGAATTTAATTTAGTAAGTCTATTAAAAAAGGTTAGTAAAGGCCTTAGAGTGTAGTATGGAAGAGACTTGTATATTTACATAAGGATTTTCAATAGCGCTTAAGTTATCTAGGCATAGCTACTAACATAAGACCGGCTGAAAACCGGGCAAAGGAAAATTCAAAAATCAATCATAATTACCAATAAAGTATTTATATAAAAACGGGACTTTAATAAAGTTATTGGTTTACGTAATCACAGGGTGATTTGTTTAATCGAATCGTAATAACGAAGGGTCAATTACTCTTATATTAATCTCTACGTAAAGTGGGTTCTAATCGTAAGTTAAATCGCCGGTTTAACGCTAATATAAAGACCCTTAGATAGCCCCTATGCTAACGCTAACTCGAAATTAAATTAAGTTTCTAATCCGATACTAACTATCTTTCTTTTATTATCAAACTCATATAATTAAAAAAGTAATTTAATAATCTCATAATAATAAATAATATATTAATAAAAATAATATTTATAATTCTTTTTTTATTTTTTTTAAGCCTTTTTTATATAACTTATTCTTTTATATATATTAAAATCGTTTTATTATTAATAAATTGTTCTAAGCTTAGGTTTAAGTTCTATTTAATAAAAGCGTTTATTAAATTATTTTTATTATTAATTCAATAAATCTTAAGAATTTTATATCGCTTATATAATTATTATAAGACTATAATATTTATTAGTAGCCTTTTCTTTTACAAAATACTTAACTTGATGAGGTATTTATATAATAAATTAAATATGTATAAACGATTATTAGTACTATAAATAAGGTTAATCGGTTTATAATTTATTTAAATATAATAGAGATTTTATAAGTAAAATCGACGTTATTAACTATTTTATAAACTTTTAAAACTAAAATACTTTTAATAACTCTTTTATTTTTGACTATTAAATAATAAACAATATTATTATAAATCGTGAATTCGTCGTCCTTTATCACCTCGTTTATTAAAATAATAATATATTTAAATTAAAAAATTAAATTTACGTTATTTAAAAACGATTTATTAACAAAAACGTAAAATTTAGTAAAAACTAAATTTAATAAATAATAAATTAGCTTACGATTTAAGTTTATTACTTATTAGCTTAACCGTTTATTTAGTATAGTAACGTCTTTTTTAATTATATTTATAGCCTATATTATTTTTATAATATTAAACGTTACTTTAAGTTAATAAATATTAATAATATACGATCTTCTTACCTACTCTACTTAATATCTTTTCTATTAATTATGTAATATAAAGCTAATAAAAGTAGTTTTTTTACTTTACTTTTTTTAATAAAAAACGATAATATTACTTTTAATTATAAAGATTCTATTATTAAACGTTAATAAATAGTTAATACTTAGAATAAATATTAATTATTCTAATATTTATATATCTTAAGTACCCTAGAATAGATTTATACTTCTCAAGTACCTTATAATAAAGTTATACCTCCTAGGTACCCTAGAGAACTCTAAGTACCCTAGAAAACTCTAAGTACCCTAGAAAACTCTAAGTACCCTAGAAAACTCTAAGTACCCTATAATATAATAATGAATATATATTAAATATAAAGAGATATATCTCAATTATTATAAAAGATTAAAATCTATAATAAATATATTTAAAATTAACGATTTTTCATAATTTTAATGATTCATATTTTGTATATAAATATATACTTTTAAATATATATCTCTGTTTTAAAGTTATAGATTTAAACGTGTTCTTATAGATACGTATTTAAATAACGTTCGAACTAAAAAACCTT